TTCGGTTACTCATGGAAAACTGACACCCTGTCAGGAGTCTAATAGCACCCTAAGTGGAAATCTTCTCTGGCGACAGTCTGCTTTCTTGATGCTCTTTTACAAAATGGATTGATTTCTCTTGATGAAACTCCTGATGCCATCTAGAAATGGATATAATTCTCAAGAAATTCAGGCAGGAATAATACAGTTTACCTTTCTCAAAGGGACTGATATGATGCAATAGTCAGTCACCTGATTGACTTCAGCTTTCCATTCTAATAAGGTGCACTTGTTGAGAGATTTTCACATCAAACTCTCACAACCCTTCAAATCTTCTGGGGGATTACTGAAGTTAACTAGAGTAAGCACCAGACAGCACGTCTGTGGTACTGGCTCTATAGCACCTATTCGCAGTAAGTGATCTATTGGCTTCTGAAATGAATTTGCTCTTCACTGAATTCAAGGATGTTGCTGGAGTGCTCAAATCTTTGTTTTAACTTTACCCAACAACTCTTCTGAATAACTTCTAGCACCCACCTGTCTCCTGTCATGCATTTCTACTCCTGCGACAGTTTTTCCCCAATTAGTTGGTTGTCTTGGGACAGGAGTGGGAGTCATGCTGCTGATCTAGAAGGAATGGTGGACTGGAGAAGTCAGCCCTGGACTCCCCCTCCTTTGCTTGAACAGTCCCGCCTGCCTCTGGACTAAGAGTCCTTTCTGTGGTACCTGTTTGAATTGAAGGAGCAAAAGTAAAACTTTACTGGCTGTTTCAAATTGTGTATATATATATTTTTTAAATAGCTGATGGGAGCTAATGTTTTTCCTCTGTATTTTCTAAAATGGTTTTGCCTGATGGTTCCCAATCACCTTACCAGCTGAGTTCTTAGAGGTACTCATAATGTGTTAGACTTATGGGCAAGCTTTCTGAGACATAGGTGATCACTGGCTACTGGGTTTACGGCCATAGATATCTGAGAACCTAAAAGAATCCATCGAGGCGTCCACACTACAAAAGAAGAAGCAATTGTAATTTTCTTTTTAAATGATATAATACCTGATGACTACTTTGAAAAAATTCAAAATCAGCTGTCATTATGACTCTTTTGCTCCAAAGTGTTTCTCAGCAGTAAGACATTCAAAATTACTGTGAACCCTATCTATGTATATCTGTAACTAGAAATTTGCCATCTAGCATGCCTGTGCAATGAAGTTCAATTAACAGGAGCTTTGAAAGCCACAAAGTCTATTTAGATGGGCCCAAATTATTGGACGGGGTTATCACCTGAACTTACAAATTGCTTAGTTGACCTTCATTACAAACCACTGGTTGCATGGGGAAAGTGAACTGAAGTTAGCATTCACTGAAGCGAGGGGGGGAAAGTGATAACAAAAGCAATCACTGAAGTATCATAGACTCATAGACTTTAAGGTCAGAAAAGACCATTATGATCATCTAGTCTGACCTCCTGCACAACGCAGGCCACAGAATCTCACCCACCCACTCCTGTAACAAATCCCTAACCTATGCCTGAGTTATTGAAGTCCTCAAATACTGGTTTAAAGACCTCAAGGTGCAGAGAATCCTCCAGCAAGTGACCCATGCCCCACGCTGCAGAGGAAGGCGAAAAACCTCCAGGGCCTCTGCCAATCTGCCCTGGAGGAAAATTCCTTCCCGACCCCCAATATCAGTTAAACCCTGAGCATGTGGGCAAGACTCACCAGCCAGCACCCAGGAAAGAATTCTCTGTAGTAACTCAGATCCCACCCCATCTAACATCCCATCACAGACCATTGTTAGATGGGGTAGCATTCCATTTCAAATGCTGCTATGGAAACGCAAATTTTATACTGTACACATTTCACCTATTATGACCACACACCATAAATAAATATCCCCTGTGCAGCTGGAAACAATAAGTCAGGGTTGATTTTCTTGGGACACTGCCCCTGGAAGTGTGCAAGATACAAGGCCCAACAAAAAGGTTAAAAATATGATCAATAAGACTACTGAGCTTTCCCTTCCCATGTCACCCAAGAGTTTTATTTTTGGTATATACAAGACAAGGGGGGAAGGATAGCTCAGTGGTTTGAGCATTGGCCTGCTAAACCCAGGGTTGTGAGTTCGATCCTTGAGGGGGCCATTTAGGGATCGGGGCAAAAAGCTGCCTAGGGATTAGTCCTGCTTTGAGCAGGGGGCTGGACTAGATGACCTCCTGAGGTCCCTTCCAAACCCTGATATTCTATGATTCTATGACATAATTCCTAGAGAGCCCTATTTTGAACTGTACACACCAATCAGCCACATGTGTTGGCCAACAGGTGGATACAGAAAATAATCCTATCAACTGCTGATTAGTGATGAAGTTATGGGACATACACAGTATGAAGCAGATGCATCATTTCATGATTAATGACTACCCAAACTATACAATGTACCGCTATGATCTTTCATGTGCGTAACTTTATGATTAACAAATATTCAAACTATATAATGTAACAATATGGTCTCATTTTCATGAATGTTCTGAAACATGATTCAAGAACGGTTAAGCTAAAATCTCAACTTCTTACAATATTTACTAACAAAATCTCTTATCCCAAGTGCTCACCTTCCCTCAGTATATTCTGTCATGTTCTGTCCTGCTTCAGATGGTGAGAGTCCGTTTTTAGATTAATTTTGTTACAGTACCTGATTTATGTTGGGGTTTTCCCGTTTTTTAGGCCTAAAACACTGACTTATTCATCTTTCACGATACATAGAACAGTAATGATGGTGCTAGTTTAAAATTGGGCATATTATACACGTTTTCTTTTTTGTATCCTCTTTAATGTCCCCTAAGCAACAACATTTGAATATTAGAGAGTTTTTAATCACACTTAGGAGCAACTAGGACTGTTGACGTATTGTTTGAACATACCAGGATTCCTTTCATAGAATCATAGATTATTAGGGTTGGAAGGGACCTCAGGAAATCATCTAGTCCAACCCCCTGCTTAAAGCAGGATCAATCCCCAACTAAATCCCCAAATGGCCCCCTCAAGGATTGAACTCACAACCCTGGGTTTAGCAGGCCAATGCTCAAACCACTGAGCTATCCCTCCCCCGAGGGATAGCATACAAAGCATGTACAGGGTAGCGTAGATTTCATAACTGATGCTTCTGTGTAGGAGGACTTCAACTTATCTGTGGGATATGTGCCAAAGATGTTGCTCTTTGCGGGTTTATTTGTTACTTCAGTAAAACAGCCAAGTCTGGAAAATCTCCATGAAATCTGCTTTTTTGCATTACTTTTCTGTTGGGCTTATTTGCATTTCCTAAATTATATTATACAAATTCCTCCAGAGCAGAATGAAACTATACAGCATAGGACCTTCTTAAAAGTTCCAGGGAGGAGGGGAATATTTTCTGCATTTTTAAATCAGGATTATCCTCTTCAGTTCCTAATTTATCTTCCCACATATTAAGTCCTCTTACAAAACTTTTTAAGCATTGCCTCAAAATATTAGGCAAATTCTGAGTTTCCTTCCACTTTCTCCTGTGTACTGCAGGCAGACTGCTACTCCTTCCCTCTGTGGAACAAGGGACTGCTGATGAAAAACTAACACCTATTTTTATTCTTTTTGATTTCCTAATCTTCCTTTTGGTGGATTTGTACAGAAAACTACTTTTAGATTTGTTTATTTGTTTTTGTCAAGCAATTATTTTGGTTGTGTTCTGTACCTCCTCCATATTAAGGAATAAAATTGGTCCCTTGACTCTTTATAAGAATGTAGGAATTGTCATATTGAATCATGCCTATTGTCCATATTTACTAGTTCCCAAGGCCAGAGGGGGTGGGTAGGGCCAGACTCAGCAGCCACCTCCCCCATTTTTGGGAGAATAGGGTTGACCTGCTGGCCCAGGGACTAAGTTGCCAACCAGCTCGCCCCATTGCACGCCAGGGTTGATCTTCGGGCCAGATTTTTTCACCCCAAATGTACCCCAGGGGGTATCAGGCTCCCTGGAAGGAAAAGCCAGAGAGGAAGGCCCTCTTTGGCTGCTGTAAAGTGGGGGACAAGCACCTGCCATATCAGATGCTTATTCCTAGTCTCAAAACAGAAGCAGAAATCTCTCTATAAACGATAGGTAAGTATGATACACTTGACAATAAGCATTGAAAATAAACCTCATTTACCAACAAACTACAGTGATACATTCTGAATCAGTGTATACGGTATCTTAATCCATAATTGGCTCCATCAAAGGCCTATTACAAAAAATCATGACAATCCCAAGTACAGAGAGGTTTTTTCCCCCCACTTAATCTTTTAGGAATTGAATGTCTTTGAATGGTGCTAGATTGGCAGTATTAGAAATAGACCCTCTCTGTTTAACGTAAACCTTGTATTACACGAGCATCAAGTTTCCTTACACTGCCTTGCCGGTTTGACTCAACCATGACCTGAAGGGATTAACTCCAGCAGATGAAATAATAATAAATTACCCATGTCTGTTCAATATGGAACTCCCCACTGACACTACTAAAAAGGATGGCAATATGGTGAGTTATTAAAACTTTTTGACAGTTATAGCAGCCTCAAGATTTATCACTACAACATATTGTAATTTATGACATAGTATGTATTTAGTACTTTTCATAAATTGTCCTCAACTAATAAGCTATTTTGCATTATTACTCAAATTGAAACCAAACTTTTTAACAGAGGTGTAAAAAGTATTTTTCTTAAGTTTAACCATCTTATTTCTCAATAAAGTTGAAACTTCGTACACAAACTCTTTGACCAGGTACTTCTTTTGCCTTAAATGAGTTGTACTTTTCACATGTTTTTCTCCATTTTCAAATAACTGTTAGTTATGCTTTAGGTGAAAACACAAACTAAGTTTAGGAGGCTGAGTCCTTACTGGATACTGGTCAACTTTTAATATGAAAACATACTTACATTTAGATAATTGGGCACATTTACAAATGATCTATTCTGCATGCAAAAAATCCACAAATCATTAAACAATTTGTTCTTACATCTTTTGAAGCACCTGGGCCATCACAACCCCATTCGTTAAATCTTCCACAGTCTGGCATGGTGCTTCAACATTAAATGTCTGGATCTGAAGGGGAAAAAAAAACATTTTCTTATTAGCCTGCCTTAACTATCTCTTACTAACACATCAAAGAGTTTTCAAAAGTAACACAACGGTATTGTTACTACCAAACAGCAGCAAATGGCAGAGAGAAAAACAAAACAAAACACAAAGGTGCACAAGTTTAATTCTATCAGTGGAGAAATATTGCAAGTGCTAGATTTCATTTAGTGAACCACAACACTGAGGTTTGTCTTGTTGTAGAGCCATGGACACAGCTTCACAGATATGGTTGCAACCAAAGTTCTATTACAAGCTCTGACCAGGATTTTCAAAACATGAGTTACCAGAGTTACATTCCTAAGGGAGGGATATTCAAAAGCATCTAATAACTCAGGAACACAAATCCCACTGAAAGTTAGTGGAACTTGTGCTTTTAAGTCATTCAAGCACCATCCTAAATCCCTTTTTAGGCACATACATAAGACCCCTGATTATTAAAAATGCTGATCACCTAGACCGACCACCATCCCATGTTTATATAATTATATACACACACACGCGTGTGCTCTGAACAATTAACTTCTCCCTAGTGTGCGATGAGAGTGAAATCATGCTAGTACTAGCTGGTTTGTACTGGCCAGTGTTAGTTTGCTATTAGTTGTAAGGTGTTCAATTACTACAATAGATGTGGCAAAAAAAACTAGACAGAGAAAAGTCTCTGGTATAAATATAGAGGTTAAGATGCAAGATGTTGGTATCTGACTTAGAACTGAAGGATGGAATGTGGCTGATTCCATAGTGTCGTATGTGGGGGTGAGTGGTGGTTTCCAGTCCATAACAGAAATATACCCCTGAGGTAGGGTGGATGGGTGACAGTCATTTTGGTCAACATGCTGTGCCTAGAGACACATACTGGGGTAGGGTTTCATTTTTGAATGTGCAGTATAATAATATACACTTGAATATTTGTGTAAGAGATTGCAAGAACTTCAGGATCAAAGGAGACTTCCCTGGAACTATGCGCTGAGCTTGCCCCTGACACAGCAGTACCAGACGACGAGAGATCTCCTTCACTATGGAAAAGTGAGCAGCCATAACACTGCAGAAGTTGACTAACCTAGTCTTCTACTGTCCAGATGGAAACCCAGTTGGGAAGTCCATTGTGAATGCTGTTGTGCTGGGGGTTTGCACTGTAACAAATACTGTGTGTGTTACAGGGACAAGTAATCAAGACTGCTAACATGCCAGAGACCAAATAATTTAAGTGGCTGGGCTCCCCAAACTGACAGAGCCATTAATGGAATCCGCATGCCCATTCCGTGTCTGAGCACAACAAGCCGAGAAATACATAACAGGAAGGAAACTGTTTCCATGACGATGCAGTCCATGTGTATCTCCCTGGGAAGCCCTGGGCATGGACATACAGTAGCCTGGAAAAGTGCGCGAAGCCAGGACTTGAAACAAACCGCACACGCCCACCACCAAACTCTGGACTTCTCAAAAACAGGAAAAGTGAAAAACTATTCCCACTAATATTGACATTATGGGTGTTTCCATCCCCACTGTGCTCCCAGGTGATCCTGTCTACCCAGTACTGCCGTGGCTCATTAAAACTTCCCCAACTACATAAACAAAGGTAGAAGATTCCACTACACACCAATGCAGGATGGTGGTGAAGTGTGCTTCTGGGATACTGAAAGCAAGATGTAGATTGTCTGTTGACTGTTCCATGACTAGTATTACCATGATCATATCTGCTTGTTGCATTTTACATAACATAAGTGAAAACAAAGGAGAGGTGGTCAGTAAAGACTACAGTGGCTCAGACAGCTTGCCCTCTACTTTTTCACAGCTAGAAAATCATGTAGATGCAGCTGAAGGATGACAACACTACGTCTGGTGAGCATGCGCTACAGATCTGAAACAGAGGGCACCAAGGACTAATGCTTTGTTTCTTTTTATGACTACTTGAAAATACCTTTTTTTATACAGTGAAGAATGAAGGACTAGATAGCACAACACTGTTGATAACCTAGCACATTTATGCTATGTACATTTTTTATTGATTTGTTATAATGGAGACAGTATCACCTTATATTAAGTATCAACAACATTAAAAAACAATGCCTTTTTTTCCAAAAACAAAACTGTGTTTTAATAAGGGAGTCCAGCTGCAGAAACAATCTTCTTTCCCTGTGTCAAAAACAGGGGTTGAATGTCTGGAGAATGGCTGGGAGAGAGCCAAAGAGGTAGGTCCCAATCCAAAAAGTTGTATTCTCTGCTTTCGGGAGGGCACGGTATCGGGCAGCACATGGCAGTGCAGAAGCAGACTCTAGTTGTGGGGACAGAGCAGCAGGCAGTTTCTTTTGGGTCTTTAATAGTCATTAGATAATGGCTGCTGAAACTCTGCCTCCCTGTGCATTCTGCTGTCTATATTTTTGCATGAGTTCTGTCCTCCTGCTGGAACTGTTCCTGCCTTCGGGGCGTGTTCAGGACTGCCTCGTCTTTCACTCCTCAAAGTGGTAAATTCATACTAATTCTCTGTTCACATTCCTTTGCGCTTTGATGAATTGGTCCTTTCAACTGTGCCACCAACATGGAGTCTGGACAATATGCACAGCTGGACAGCAAGCCCTGACAGAGAAAACAAGATATGATCGAATTAACACTCACCGCAATCCCTCACACGTCCCATGAAATGTCAACAAATGAGACAAAAGAAACTTCCTCTTCTCTTTTTTAAATTCCAATAGCTAATCCAGAGCCATTCAACACAGAATGTTAAGGACATATGTTCCCAATTCTCACACAACACTTAAAACTATGGAGAGGTGTGGTACTATTTTAGAGCAGGGGAAGGGAGATATGTAGTGCATAATGCCAAAATGGTATAAAAAAGTTACTTATTACTCAAAAGTAGGATCTTGGAAAATGAGGGTTTTTGATTTTTTTGCAGATGATATCCAATGAGAAGCTCCATGACTGGTGAGGCTTGGTTAGCTACCTTGGAGATATGCATTAAAAAAAAAAAAAAAAAAAAATCTTTATATTAACTTTGGAGAAGTTGCCATACAAACAGTTCATTAGAAAGACAAACGCTAATGTGATTGCAGATAGCCAAGTTGTGCATGCTGTATAGAAATGGCTGGATGCCATATGGGCTAGTCAATACAATGTAAGGTAAATGCTTTGGCAAGCGTCCACTAATTAACTTATTACAGTAACTTACAGGTCCAGCTGTTTTTATTTTTCCATTGGTGTTTCATGTGACATTTAAAAAAAAATCCCCATTTTTGTATGTGGCTACATGGTATAGCACAGCCAGCTGCCGTAAGTGCCAAGTCAAGCACTTCCTCTTACCATAACTGGCAGGTCATGACGCTGAAAAGGGTACCACAAGTGAGAGGAATGGAAGGGTGGCTCCAAGAAAGACCAGTTATGGGGGAATAACTGTTTTGAGTGGTCTGCTGTGGGGCTGTTACTTGTACTATGGCAGAGAGGATGAAGGGGGGAGTGGGGACTGGCAGAGCAGGGAGAAGGAGAGGTGGACACTTCCATCTTCACATAAGACTATATCTGCCCATTCACAAATATTAAGGATGCATTCATAAGAAGCCAGAAAAATTTCTCTCAGCCCCAGAATCTGAAAAAAAAATCAGTCCCCATCAGTACTTTATACAATAGTAAGCTGCATACCTGATAAAGCTTTGCTCATCTCCAGATTCCACTTCCTCATGCGGAACCAGCTCAGTCATCTCAGGATCTGGGCCTCCATCCTACAAATGGATCTTGTGATCTGGGCAACTCCTGGTCAGGCTCCCTCACCCCCATTCCTCCTATTTGGTAATGGTGTTCTCGTCTCCTCTGAATAATCATGCTACAAAGTATTTTTTCATTATGTTTGGGAGCATCTCAGGCTGAGCAGTGGAGTGAGTCTTCAGGCTCCTCGCCAGACGGTTGTACAAATGAAAAATTCTATGCCAGGACTTGAGTCTTCTGATGTCATCATTAACTTTAGGCTGTACTTTCGGTTTTTGATTTTATCCCAGCATGGCTTATAAACTCAGGTTATACCAAGCATGCAGATGACTGGTTCTATGTATGTAAGAGCATTTAACACCACTGGCCAGCTGCTTCTGGATTTTCTCATCCCATAAGATGATTTGGGCCCAAATATCTGAGCCAGGCAGCAACACAGTCAATAAAGGTTCTCCTTTAAGACATCCTGGTAATACTTGCAATGTTCACAATCAAAGAAGCTTGCAATTGTGAAAGAAGTTGCTTGCAATGCAAGCTGTCTGCACTGAGCTCTATGGTTTGTGTCGTGCTATTATACAGGTAGATGGCTTCTAGTCAAGCAGACTCCTGTGCAGTAGGGTGCACAAAGTAGACCAGACAAACAACCTCAGTACTGACTGAAGCACTGTGGGACTGCGGATGAGGGGAAAGCAGTGGATGTGTTATTCCTTGACTTTAGCAAAGCTTTTGATACGGTCTCCCACAGTATTCTTGCCGCCAAGTTAAAGAAGTATGGGCTGGATGAATGGACTGTAAGGTGGATAGAAAGCTGGCTAGATCGTCGGGCTCAAAGGGTAGTGATCAATGGCTCCATGTCTAGTTGGCAGCCGGTTTCAAGCGGAGTGCCCCAAGGGTCGGTCCTGGGGCCGGTTTTGTTTAATATCTTTATTAATGATCTGGAGGATGGTGTGGACTGCACTCTCAGCAAGTTTGCAGATGACACTAAACTAGGAGGCGTGGTAGATACACTAGAGGGTAGGGATCGGATACAGAGGGACCTAGACAAATTAGAGGATTGGGCCAAAAAAAACCTGATGAGGTTCAACAAGGATAAGTGCAGAGTCCTGCACTTAGGACGGAAGAATCCCATGCACTGCTACAGACTAGGGACCGAATGGCTAGGTAGCAGTTCTGCAGAAAAGGACCTAGGGGTCACAGTGGACGAGAAGCTGGATATGAGTCAACAGTGTGCTCTTGTTGCCAAGAAGGCTAATGGCATTTTGGGC